TTGAAGTTTCTTTTATCTAATTGATTTTAGTTTGTTTATTATTATTATTATTATTATTATTATTATTATAATAAGACATAAACTTAGTTATTACCAATGTTCAAGTCATAATTTTTTTGTCGTAGAATCACGTCGTTCGTAAAGCGTGAATTAAGACAGCTATTTTGTATATAACCAATAATTTTATATATTTTTCTACACCGCCGCTTTAAGTGGGTACACCATTAATGTGTGTGTGTGTGTGTATATATATATATATACACACACACACACTAATGGTGTACCCACTCAAAGCGGCAGTGGGGAATAATTTTTTCTAACATATGTTTCTTTTACAAAAACGTTACCTTCTAAAATGAAGTACATGTCTAATTATTCTAATATCTACCAATAGAATAATGGTATAATAAAAATATATCATAAAAGATTAAGGATAAACATAATAAATCATCTTCTAATGTCTAACTTCTTCCCATTCATTTATAAATTATCATTTTCTCTTTTCTTTTCATTCATCGAGATCTCCACCATTTAATTAAGATAAGTTAGAACTTCAATGAAATTTAGGTCATTCCAAGATATGCGCATAAGTTTATTATATTACTAGTCGAATCCATGCGCGTTGTGCGTGAATATAATTATTTAATTAAAATAATAACAGCTTAACAAATTGTGATTTAATATTTATACATGTAAAACCAATGTTAATAGCAAAATAAACTCTATAGTTACCATATTAGTCTTAATAATTTTAATAAATTTATACCATTAGTTATTTCCACTATTAAATTCATGATTTTATATGTTGTTTTATGTTTTGTAAATTATATATCAAACATATATTGATTTCTATGTATATATATAAAAAAAAGTAGTATGAAAAAATAAATACTACAACTTTTGATGATTTTATAGAACATTTTAAGTTGAGGAAATTATATATAAAGCGTATGTCGATTTATCAATCCCGCTTCATCATCTTGAGCTTACATGAATTTATATTTGGAAAAGTTGTAATTGCTTTCTTACATCCATGAAACCACTCGCGTAACTCTTCAAACCCTACAAATATAATCTATCATTTTGTCTTGACATACATGCAATATGTAATCTACAAATTTCTTATATAGACTAAATATTTCATTTAACTTATAGATTTAATAACATGATTTGAAGAGTTTTAAGAGTTATAAATCATGATATTTCAATTAATCATAAATTAATTTATACAAGTTGAATAGTCTTGGGAGTTTTAAATGCATGAGGTTCAAGGAATAATGGTCTTCGGAGTTTCCAATGCATGAGGTTCAAGGAAAAATGCTAGTTTTATAAGATACTAGTTTATAACCCGTGAGAAGCACAGTTATAAAATTAATTAAAATTTCATATTAAAAAATTAAAATTATTAAACAATTATTTTAATTAAGGGATATGTTTTTTAGTTATATAAAATTATAATCGTTGATTAAAATAAATACGTGAAGTTATATCGCCTTATAATTTGTATTAAATTTATTTTATTTTTCAATGTAATGTTATTAATTAAATATAATTAGAGTGGGAAAATTTAAAATCAATAATCAATTATTAATTTAATGTAATTAGAGTGTAATATTTAAAATTTGAAATGGATAATCAATTATTAATTTAATGTAATTAGAGTGAAATTTAAAATGGATAAATAATAGGTTGACAAGTATCATGATAGATGATATATAACATTAATGAGGAGTTCTAATTGTACGCCACTTGTCAATAGAAGATTAAACTTATTCTTTTACTAGTTTATAACCCGTAGGAACCACAGTTATAAAAATAATTAAACTTGTATAATAAAAAAATCAAAATTATTAATCAATTATTTTATATAAATTACTGATTAAGAGATATTTTTATTAGTTATGTGAAATTATAATTGTTGATTCAAATAAATATATAAAAATAATTTTTAATATATATTAGACTTTTTTGTGAATTAATGAAAACAATAATATGAAAAGTTAAAATTTAATTTAAAATAAAGAATAAATACATTGAAAATAACATCACATTAATGAGGAGGTCTAATAAATTTAAAATGGAGAACTAATAGATTGACATATGGCAACACATTGATTAAGATGTCTAATATAGTGACACATGACAACAAAACTACTCTTTTATTAGTATAGGAAGATTAGAATAAAGATATAGATATACATATAAATAGATATAGATATAGATAGATAGATAGATAGATAAATAGATAGATAATAACATCATTGTCTTTTCATATATTTTAAGCAGTAAAAATATAGATTTAACCGAGTCGAACTCTCCGGTAATCTTCTAAAAATATGTAAACCTTTTATTTTGATAAAGGTCAATTTTAAATATCTCATATCAATAGTAATTTCAGATCTCATTAATCTCTTAAATAACATTAAGTTAACAAAAAAAAAAAAAAAGAACGGGGTTGTTTTTACTTTTTTAGAAAATAATTACTATTATAATTAAACTATACAATAAATAAATAATATAATGTGAAATTTTTATCACATAAAGATTGAAAATAAAATCAACTTTTATCATGTAAAAAAGGAGATTTTCATCTTTTATCACATACAGATGAAAAATTTCATCTTTGATATCATAAAGATGAGAAAAAGTCATTGTTTATCACATAAAGGTGAAAAGAAAAAAAAATATCTTTTATCACATAACTACTCAAAAAATTTATCTTTTAGGGTAAAGAAGTATCATCTGACTTGGTTTCAGATTTAACACCTAAATCAACACAAAATTATATGACCGACAACACTAAAAAAATGCAAATATTAAATAAATTTGAAAATAAAGAGGAAATAAACATTCCACATAACTTCCAAAAGTTCAATGTTTGCTCCTCATGTCCTGTAGGTGTTGTCACAGTAACTCTAACATCATAAACATTCACTCCAAAAAATTTGAAACAAATATGATAAAAAATAATGATTTTACAGAAACTAATTTTGTTAAATAAATAAAGATTTACTATTAAGAAATACAAAGTAGTACAGGGACATCTTGTAACATAAAAAGATAATGCTCTAAGAAGGTTGTGCAATGAGCATAATTTGATGCAACAAATTTGCCATAAAAAATCCATTCATGAAAAAGTAGATCACACCATCAAAATTTTGCGGAACCTTTGGTTTATTAGTTGTACTTTCATGCTAAGGATTTCCTTACAAGTTTAGTTGACTAAGTTTACCTTGAACCATGGATTATCCAACCATTACAAGAGGATGTTTAGGTAGTTAATATCAATCATTTTGACAACACTTGAGTGAAATTTAACTAGTTTTTATGCTTTGGGATGAGGCTTTCTTCCAGTAATATCTGCCGATAGCTAATTTTAGATAACCACAAAATGTATAATAATTCAAATTTCAAATACATCTGAGCACAAAATGTGTAGCTAGAGATAAGAGAAGACATATACAACCAACACAAAAGATAAATGAAATTATAAAAGTACACTGGCCATCTACTCTTGCATCTCCAGATGATTGTCTCTTATTGTTAACGAATCTTGAACTTCTATACAATTGAATAACATAGGAAAGTTTCACAAACCGGCACATAACATATATACAACTATGTGTATGTATGTACCGATTTCATTTATAATAGAAAGATAAAACCCATTTTAGTGGTGCACGATTCATGTATCCCATAATCAGATACAAACCAGGATGGCTATGGTGTCACAAATTTGATTGACAAAAACTATCATCCAGTTAATGCCTTACAAATTAACAAAAACCATCATCTTAATAATTAACATAGAGAAATAAACTTCTTTAAAAAAACATAGAAAAACAAATTGAGAGACATCAACGTAAATGAAATAACTAAGAATTGAGAAGGAAAATGTGGCCGAGATAGCAAAGAAACATAATGAGAAGCATAAAACCGACAACCTACTAGTATCACTATGTATTCTCCATTATTGTAAAAACATCATTCTCCACTCAATAGAAGGGTATAGACAAATTTAATACCAAAACTGTTATCTTATTTTCAGGGTGAAATTGTTTTGATTATTTATTATACACAGGTGAATGTATATTCGATCAACATTTAAAGTAGGGACCTAAAAGCAGATGACGTTGCAATCAAGAGGTTGGTGGTTATAGAGGCCTGTTAGAGGGGCGTCAGTGGAGGTAACGATGGGATCAAGAGGGTGGAGGTAGCAAGGGTGTTGGAGGCTGGTGGTTACGGAGGTCTACCAGAGATTGAAGAGAGTAAGGAGGGAGACAAAAGAGATATGGCAGAAATGATGATGAAGACGTGTAGTTAATTTTAATGTTTTCTACATAAGGAAATATAAGACGATGCTACAAATGAGAGGGTCGTGTATTGCAAGTTTAATAAGATTGTACATGGTGTTATAATGGTTGTACCTCTTAATTTTCAAGAAACATCTCATCTAATATATATATATATATATATATATATATATATATATATATATATATATATATATACACATATATATATATATGACTTAAGGCGTCATTTTATCAAATCTTGACAGTAAATACAAGCTTTGGAGTAGGGATGAGCATATGGACCGGGGAACCGGCCGGAACCGGTACCAGCACCGGAACCGGAACCCGATGGAACCGATCGGACCAAGATAGGGACGTTATTTTTGTGGATTTTTGGAACCAGGAACCGAAACCAATATAACCGGAATCGATAGAACCGACAAAACTGAAACCGTATGATGCTATTTTTCAAGGATTGGTTTCAACATTTGAAGACACGATAAAAACCGGTAGAACCATCGGACCGGTTCGGTTCTTAATTTTGGCCGAAGCCGGTTCTCGAATCGGGTCCTGTTCAGGCCGGTTCCGACCGGTTCGATCCTTTTGGTCATTCCTAATTTGGAGCCATGACATGTTTTTTAATTCAATATGATAGATCTGTTTTTAACCCGAATACCCGATTACATCCCCCACATTATCCATCCCATGATCCCAAAAACCATCTACCATAACAAAGAAGACGACAGTGAAAGGGAAAAAACAAACCAAAACGCCGTCGTATTACATATCCATTTGACGAAATTTGTCCCTTTCTTCCATCACCCCACTCCACCCCACCTTCGTCACCATCACTTCTCCAACCACTGATCTCCTCTCACAGCATCAAAGATTCAAGATATATTAAACAAATTCAATCCAATCCCCCCACTCGCCGACCACAACAAAAATATCTCACCCCTTCCCTCGAATTCTTCCCAAAAGCAACCGACTTTAGAGAAATCTGGGCCCTTCTCTCTATCTGTTTCGTGATAATCTTTATTATTATAATCACCCACATAACCGGCATCTTAGGGAAGAAGAAGTGGTTTCCGGGATCTTTTGTTCAAGTTAATCAGCCGCCGGTGATCATATACTGTTGTGGAATTGATTGATTTTTTGTCGTTTGGTTAACTGGAATGTTATTTGGGTTTGACTTTTGACGCCGGAGAATGGATCGGTCGATGGCAGCGGCGAGTTCCGGTATTGATTTACCGATCATGCACGATAGTGACCGGTACGATTTGGTTAAAGATATTGGGTCGGGTAATTTTGGAGTTGCTAGGCTTATGAGAGATAAACAGACTAAAGAGCTTGTCGCTGTTAAGTATATCGAAAGAGGTGAAAAGGTCAGTTGGGGCTTTTCATTCTTTTGATTTAATCTGTATCTGTTTTTGGTATTCTTTTGATTGATTGATGAAATACCACTATTGGATTTTGATCGATCCTTTTTGGGTAGTCTTAATTTCACTTCAAACTGTCTAATTTAAGGGACTTATATTTTGTTTCCATTTATGGATCTTTCACTTTCTTCGCGATTGCTTTAGCAATTACCAATTACCAATTAACAATTAGAATCCATGTTAAAATTAAACAAATAACGAGGAGCAAAGATTGTAGGATGAACATTTGGGGGAAATTAAAACCATGAAATTTAATTCTTTCCCTAAATTAGCGATAAAATTCACATCAATGAGTTGACAAGACCTCATATTTCTACGACTGCAGCTTGAAATTGGAGCACAAGCTTCTCCATGTTCTTAGCATCAAGAGTATAAGTTTTTTCCTTAAAAAATTATGTGGGAATTGTGAAGCTCATTGATAACTCGATAATTTGATCATCGTTCTAATTAAATTTGATATTTGTTTTCAGATAGACGAAAATGTTCAAAGGGAAATCATCAATCACAGATCTTTAAGACATCCTAATATCGTTAGGTTCAGAGAGGTGCGATCATTTTCTCTATTTTCTTACTTAAATTATCATTTTTAATAACAAATTAATTACTAATTTCATTTTAAAAAAAAATATATTTTAGCTCATATTGACCCCAACCCATTTGGCAATTGTGATGGAATATGCTTCTGGTGGAGAACTTTTTGATCGAATTTGCAATGCAGGGAGGTTTAACGAAGATGAGGTTCTTTTTTTTTCTTTTTTTTTTAATAAATTTTATATGAAATCTTTTGTTGTTTTTTTTTTTCTTGAAAAAAATTTAATTGTGTTGATTATGAACAGGCTCGATTCTTCTTTCAACAACTCATATCTGGTGTCAGCTATTGTCACTCTATGGTAAATTAAACTTTTACATTTGTTCAAATAAGTTTATTAAACTTTTTTCAAGAGATTTAACTACTCAACTTACGATTTTGTTTCATTGTTATGAAATTTTGTATTTGTTTATTGAATGTGGAAGTTTATGGAAACAAAAATCGTTAAATACTAACAAAGTTTAAGTTTTATTCCGATTTTGTGAAAATGACAGAAACATTAAAGTGATAACGTGGCATGTTTATTGAAACTATATAATGAAATTGTTTCAATAAACCTCCCACATCGACAAAAAAACGAAAGTTTATAACAATGAAACAAGAAATACAAAATTTCATAATAATAGAATAAAATTGCAAGTTGGGTGGTTAAAGAAAGCTTTCGAAAATTAGTGGTAATAAGTGGAACAAGTTTTAAATTTGATTACCATTTAATGAAAATAGTTTTGCTTTTTATTATTATTTATGTATAGGCTAATCATTTCATTTTTTTTTTCATCATTGAAGCAAGTTTGTCACCGTGATTTGAAGCTAGAAAATACGCTGTTAGATGGAAGCCCTGCTCCCCGTTTAAAGATTTGTGATTTTGGGTTACTCAAAGGTAGCAATTTTTCCCACTTGTTTTATTTGGTTCGTGTGTTTTTGTACTTTTGATAAAAAAAAAAAAAGAAATTATATTATTTTCTTGATTTTATATTTGCAGTCTTCGGTGTTGCATTCACAACCAAAATCTACTGTCGGTACACCAGCATATATCGCACCCGAAGTGTTGCTTAGACAAGAATATGATGGAAAGGTAGGTTGTACTGCACTTGACCTGACACAGCAGGAGAAGGCATGACAAAACAGGTTGTATTGTTTGTTTGTCACACAGGACATGAGTCACATGACTTGACTAGACATGTTGTACTCATGACATAACAGAACAAGTTGTATTTTTTGTGACATAACATGACTAAATATGTTGTTTGCACTGTATTTGACATGACATGACATAACAGTTGTACATGACATGACAGAACAAGTTGCATTGTTTGTGACACGACATGACTAAATATGTTGTTCGCACTGTATTTGACATGACATGACAAAACAGTTGAACATGACATGATAGAACATGTTGTAAAGCATTTGACATGCATCGGACTGAAACCCAGACTGATATTCTGATCATTTTTTTTTCAGATAGCGGATGTTTGGTCATGCGGGGTGACGTTATATGTAATGCTCGTTGGTGGCTACCCTTTTGAGGATCCAAACGAACCAAAAGATTTTCGAAAGACAATACATGTATACGACATATAAATATATTTCAACTTCATTGTCACGATATTATGATATATTTTTTTTCACTTATATCAATCTACTTTCGTTATCTACAGAGAATCCTACATGTCCAATATTCAATCCCAGAAAATATTCAACTTTCCCCCGAATGTTGGCACCTCATTTCAAGAATATTTGTTGGAGACCCCACACAGGTCCGTTTTTTTTTTTTTTTTTGACTTAATACAGAAAGAACAACTTAACAGATATTTACGAATTTACCCGTTTATGGAACAGAGAATAACGATGGCGGAGATAAAACAACACAAATGGTTTCTAAAGAACCTTCCGGAAAATCTCATGGATGAAGACAAAATGATGACAAATCACTTTGAAGAACCGGATCAACCGATGCAAAGTGTTGATGTGATTATGCAAATAATATCAGAAGCCACTATTCCACCTGTTGGTCTTTATGATCTTGATATGATGGATGATGATTTGGATGACTTTGACTCTGATCCAGATGAACTTGATATTGACAGCAGTGGTGAGGTGATATATGCAATTTGATGATTAAATTTATATATGACAAGGTTTGCGTATGTAGAATCACTTGTGGGTTGTGTTTAGATGTTGTCACGGGAGTTTTTTTTGTATTTTGGGTCGGGTCTTTTCCGGGCAGTGTGGGCAAAATCCCGGGCGGTTGTATTGTTGCCCGGGGTTTTGGTGTGTCTGGTTTAGGGAAGATCTGGCCTTTTTTAAATACCAATGGAAATCAACTATGACCTTTTTTTTTTTTTTTTTTTTTTTTTTTTTGTTACAAAATGATGAAATCGAAGCCATGTATAATTTTAATTGCATGGATTATTTATGTTATTCCACCCTTATTTGGAAGGTTAATGTCATAATATAAAGCGTAACAATTTTTTTTTCGTAAAAAAAAAGGACTATTGATATAGAATGTAGGAAACAACAAAATTAGTTCATAAAATACCATTATTTTAATGGTATTTTGTGAATTACCTATTTATGATATTTTTCTAGGACATGTAGTACAAAAATACAAATAGTTTGTTATTATTTATGACGCTAACCCTTTTGGGAATTTCCATAAATAGGAATGCCGAATTCTGGGCAATGTGTGGCATTGTTGTTTAGTTTCATCGGGTGTGTATTCATGTTTTTTTTGACAAACAAAATCGAAAGTAAAGATTTAAGTGAGAGGGGGTGTGTATTCATATATTCGTTAAACATTTGAATTTAGGGAAAATGTTTTATAAATAATGTTTGAGCAATTTGCTTAAATGAACATATTTTGGAAGCTAAATCTTTTACAATGACATGATGACCAATCTTTTACAAGGGTCTTCCGATTCGTGAGGGTTAGAGGTGAGCAAACCCAAACCAAGAAACCGAAAAACCGACTAAAACCAAAACCGAAACTGAAAAAACCGAAACCAAAGCAAAATTGATGGTTAGGGTTTAAATTTTTTAAAAACCGAAAAATCGGGTTTGGTTTCGGTTTTTACATAGAAACCGACCCACTAAACCCGTAAAACCGACCCATATCTAAACCCATAAAACTGACCCACTAAACCCATAAAACCAAACCATGTACATATTAAAAAAAACACAATATTTAATATTACAACCCTAAATGAGTAAATGTGGCGACTAATCTGTAAATCGCATTCAGCTCTCATTTTCTCACTTAGCGGCAACGCCGTTTCTCATCTCACCTTCCCCGATCAAAGTCGACAACGCAAGTACACTCCAGTAGCAGGAGCTCCGACGAGCTCAACCTTGTTCCCAAACCGCCGACACCACCCTTCCAAGTTCCAAAGCTGCTAGCCCGCTACGCCTCCAACGATTCCTTCTCGCTTCTCAGGTTCGTTTTCAAGTTCTCCCTTCTAGCTTTTCAGTTTCTCACTTCTTGGTTGCAACTGCCAATCTGTTCGTTGCTTTGCTGCTATTACATTACATTTTCATCCCCAAACAGCCAAGTGTTGATGTTGCTTTGCTGAAATATCTGTTCAATTTATGAAAATGTCGAGTGCTCTACAGCAACCTAAACATAACTTTTTTGATTATGAAATTATTACACTGATTTTAGTTGTTTGATTATGGATTCTGTCATTTTGATGTTGATTTTGGAATGGCAGGAAACCGTAAGTGTATGGATTGAACTCAAGAAACCGAGAAACCGTCCAAACTGATATTAGAACTCGAGAAACTGAACCGACCAGAAACCGATCCTATTGGGTTCTGAAAACCAGAAACCGATCATTTACGGGTTGGGTTGGGTTGGGATCCAAACCGACCCATGCACAGTCCTAGTGAGGGTGCATCTTATTAAAAACGCTCATTTAAATCTTAAGTAAAACCATACCATCAATTCAATCAACTATTAACTCATAATAAATATAAATAGAAAAAATTACAGCCCAAATCTCTTTATTACTTTTTAAAAAATTGCAAAAAATTAATGTTTTTCCGAAAATAACCACTAACTTCCTCGCAACTATGATTTCACACGCTCTAGCTGTTATTTCCTCTCTTGGGCTATGATTTGGCCCCAATTTCGGTTCATGGACCCAAAGTATAAAAACATGAAATTTTGGAAAATACCTTTTATTTTCACACTTTGATATTATCATGAGAGGAAATTGTAGTTAGATTGTCCATTTTAGAGGAAATCTTGGGTAAAAGGCTAAAAATAACATTTGCATGGTTCATATGTAAATATACAAATACGTAATGTACAAGCATGTACTGACTTGTATATGTGAAAAAACAATTATGAATTTCAATAATTGATTAACTAGAATGATTTAATCCTAATCAAATGACCAATTTAAATACAACTAAAAGTTAAGCAAAAAAAATAAATTCGAAACCACTAGATAAAAGCACAAATTACAAACCAAATTTAATGATTAATCACATAAAAAATCGAAGTCTTTGCAGAACTGAAAACTAGGGTTTTTTAGCGAGGTTAAAAACAATCTAAAACAATAAAAACGAAACTAAACAATAAAATCTTACTAAACTAATTGAAACAGTCAATCCACAATCTTCAGGTCTTCGTAAACCGCTAGAAAATGGTAGAGATCACCAAAAATTCATCTGAAAGGGTTCTCTAAAAATCTTTGTTTAGAATGGAAGACATAGAAGATATTTATAGGCAAGATAACCACATCTGATAAGGATTCTTGGAAAATACGTCATGGATGTGCCGCGTCAAGACTTGGGAGCATCGCGCCATACAAAAAAATCACATATGTCCGTTTTAATGAAGTTCATTGCTATTTTCGACATTTTTTTTTCCAGAACATGGGCATCAAACACTGGCCGTTTTTTTCAGAACTGACGGAGGCTGAAAAATAACAAACTCTAGGCATTAAAGTGGATTATATAGTCCCAAAAATCCTAAAAGTCATTCATTCCATGCTCATGGGCACTTCTCGCCGAATAAATGGTGCCCCGGTGCCTATTGTTTAAAAAAGCCCAGATTGATTTTCCGATTTTTAGTGAATTAAACATATTAAAGTTAGAATAAAATAAGTACCGGGAATTCAGATTTTACAATTCTAGTTTCCAGTTTTCCAGCAATTTATGGAGCAACTTTTAGCAGCATCATTCAATCTCGCCACTACTACCCCAGGGGAGTCTTGTCCGATTCTCTCTCTTTCTCTCTCTCTCTCTCTCTCTTTAATTTATGTTCTTTAATTGTTTCAGCATGCAATGAGGACATTGCATCAAATAAGTGTGGGATAGGGGTCGAATATAGGAATACAAGCTTACTCATAATTAAAATTTTGAAAAATGACTAGGATTTAAAAATTATTAGAAAGATTTGAAACAATAATCTAAAATTGAATCTAGTGAAAAAAATTGTTGTGTTGAGATCTAGGTTGCCAGCGTTGTGTGGGACGATCTGATGCGAGTTGTAATGTTTATTTGAGCCAATATATGTTATAGTGTATTTGTGGCTTCCCGGTCCTAGTGAAATCATAGAACAAAAACACAACCTTTCTTAGTTGAAGGGCCGCAATATGTTTAGCACCGTGTACCAAAAATGTATCCATAAGAGCTTAAGTAGTCATTGCACAATAGACTAATATTTCTAATCAATAAAGGTTGAAGATTAAATTCCTTTGCTTAAACATATATTTTTCTTAGGTTTTTAGTTTTGAGTGAAAAAAGTGAGTTATGTAAAAAAAAGTTGAAAAAAAAGTTGTTGAGTGAATAAGAACTATCAAATGATTAAGATCTTGAAGAAAGTGAAGAAAGAAGCCAATTTTCCAAGTAATTATTTATTATAATTTATTTTTCTAGGTTATTTTTCTATATGTGTGCTTAGGAGCTTAATCAAAAATTACCTTGAGGTTAAGAAAGATTTTTTGGGATGGATTCGGAAGGATGCATAAAATGAGTATTGTTCGAAAGAAGTGGCCAAGTGTTTATGAATATTGTGAGTATTTAGGATTGAGGAGGTTCTTAGGAAAAATGTAGACACAAATACATGCATTGAGGTCTTGGAGTAATGGAGAGGCTCAAAATGGATTGTTTTATGCGATGTTGGTAGCTAAACTCTTGATATGATAATAATAAATTAGTTTTGCTTGGGGGTAAGCAAAAGGCAAGTGTGGGGTAGTTTGATAACGTCTATTTTATGCATATATTTATGACGTTTTCTTATTACTTTATACATAAGTTTTTATGCTATTTAGAACTAAAAGATATTTAATACACTTTGAAATCTTAAATTACAGTTGGAATGGGAGTTGGAATGTAAAAGGAGGAGAAAGGAGCTAAAAAGACGCAAAAAGGATGTTGCTGGACAACTTGACCCCTTGTCAGTGTTTTGACCATATCTCATGACTCGTAACTCCGATTGACGAGATTCAAAATGTTCTGAAAACTAGACACAATTTTGGAAGACTTGCGTGTTTTGATAAAATGTTGATTCCAAACGAAATCGTCGAGTTGGGTCCTCCAACTCGACGAGTTGATTAGAAGCTTCGCGATTCTTGACGCTGACTTGGGGAATACGAGATTTTAATGAAGAACTCGCCGAGTTGGTGTCCAAACTCGTCGAGTTGATGCTGAAAAATATAAATAAAGTTTAAAATTATCCCTAATGAGAGACCTTACACCCTAGATTGATTCCTACGATTATAAACCCCCAAGAAGCTGAGGGTCTAGAAGGCGGCCGAAAGGCCGTTAAGCTGATATGGAGCGAAGATCTGAAGGATTGGAGAGCAGATTCATGTTGGTAATCATGTAGTTTGTTAACATGAACATGTTTAGCATTCCATTATGATTCTATATGCAATTACTTTCCGATGTGGGTGTTAAAACCCTTTGTTTTGTGTTTATGATTAGATGAAACCTTGATTTATGGATTAATTGCTTTAGATTGTTTTATTCGTGTTTAATTTATCTTGTGAAGCTTGTTAAAAGATTTTCATGTATTAATGACAATTATTTTCTGTTAATAACCAAGTATATTGAGTTATATGAACATCTTCTTGATTGCTTGAATCTTATAGTTTTGTGAAAACTATATTGTATGCCTAATATTAATAAACATGAACCTAGGGTTAACTAGAAAATAAATAAGTTAATAGGTGAGCATGTGTGATAACCAACCACATATGAGTTAATTGAATCAATCAATATGATTAACTATTATTACAAGTCTTGCTTGATATGAATTGAACACTAGGAAACTTATTAGTTTAATCAACTGATCATTGCTTGAATTGAATTTTTTGCTAAAGGATTAGTAATAGTGAACATGAACATAATCATATTAGAAATCGGTGAACATGAATAAATAAATATGTTTGTGCAATTATCCATGATTTTCAAGATGCAATTTGTCTAAACCAAAGTACCAAAAGAGATTTGTTTTCCAATTAGTTTATCGAGATTTGCTAATTAGTAATTTGTTGAGATTTAATAAAACCTCTCTTTTTATTGCTATTATGTGTTTTGTGTAACCTATAATCAAACATTCTAAATTAATTCACTATCGTTCCCATTGAGTTCGACACCCTTGCTTATCAAAACATATTATACTTGATCAGGTTCACTGCCTGTAAGGTGTGGTTTAGATGCAAAAAACTAGGAATTATAAATAAAAAATCTAGTGCGTTAAATATACACATCAAGTTTTTGGCATTATTGCCGGGGAACAGTTTTCAATTAATTTAGTTTGTTTGATTATTCGTTATTTGTTTTAATTTTTTTTCATTGATATCATGTCATTTGTCGGGAAGGTTTTTGTTATTATGTGCAGGAATTCGTGATCATACACATTGCTTGGTTTTACTTTTTGTGTAACACTGTAAATTTTCAAGCAACCTTCTTTTATATTTTAAAATCACATAAATTTCATCAGCACATGTCACAAATTAACAAAAATATCGAAATTATCAAAAACAAATGTTCATAGTGGTTTAAATAAAATCAAGGATCCTCAGAAACAGAACTCCATCTCGGGTGTACAATTGAGCCGACGTCTTCCCGTGATCCTAAGAACTACCTGAAACACATAACAAATAACACGGTAAGCATGGAGCTTAGTGAGTCCCCAAACTACTACACACATCTCATTAGCCTCTCATGGCTATATCTCGAATAAGACCCTCCAGTCAATGTGTCTCAGTGGAACCCTCCGGTCCCACAACTCGGGTGGACCCTCTGGTCCTATCTCAACAATGCACATGATAATATATAGCATAGTTACAAGACATAATACATGATATCACACGTCTCAGTATAAGCACATAAGATCAGCATATACATAGAGTACTATAACAACATAAGTCACAAAGACAGTA